ATACGATGGCGCTTAGCCTCTCCACAATGTCAGATGTTGCGATTTGAAAATGAGTTTAAAAGGGGAGGTGTGGTCCGGAGGATTCTCACAAGGCGGCGTCCTTTAATCGCGCGGCCATCTCCTCGATGCTCGAGGCTCGAGGTCTCTTCTAAAGAACCTCGGTGGGGAGTCATCCGGTAGGGCGAGAGACACGACTACGACGGCGATCATTTAGCGTAGCTAAGATCTGTCGGTGGAAGTTTTTTGTCGCGACAGCTTATTATGAATAATGATTTATATCTGGTCCGAGGCAGGGTGTTCCCCTCTCGACATATCGAGCGAGCCAGCCGCGGCTACAGGGTCGAAACAAAGACGGATCGAAGGGGACTGCCGACGGAGGGACCGAGACAGACCGAAGGGTTAATAACGGTCGCGTGTTGTAATACCTGCCATTATCCACAAACCAACCGCCTAACAAGCTACCTGCTAATAATACACGACCACGCGGCACACACGATCACGCGCGTCATCTTTTTACTTGACTCCCCTCGAATTTTTGTCATTGCGATACTACCTACTACTAATAATCACCGCGCCGGTACGGCAGTTTCGAGTCGATCGATCGATCGATCGCGATTCACGATTACGATTGATTTGTCCTTTTATTTTCTCGCTCTCTAATAAGAATTACGTTACAATTATCGTGGCAAAACGTGCGCTTCATTTGTTCACGTGTTGTTCGCTTCTCATTTTCGAAAGTTAGAGACGGAAAAGAGAAAGAAAAGCAAAGACATTAGAGAGCATCGATCGTTTGTTACAGCTCATTTTTCTAAATACAGTTTCGATTAAAATACCTTCCTTCTCCGTAATGAACTGATCTAGTTGTTGCTCGAGTTATATTCCTCGAATTAACGTCTTATTCCTCGAAGGCAGGAGAGCACAAGGCAAAGGGAATCGTTTTTGTTAGAAGGCGTAAGAAGGCAAGTAGACGGCTAGGTCCGCGCAAAAGCTAGCTGGCAAAAGTCAATTAGTAACGGAACAATTATATCCGGTCGGATGGATTCGCTTCTAATCTCTGCTTGCATTGCCACTGCCTTCCTTGCACAACTTGGCTTCAGCTGGCCAACGTTCATCGGCCAACGATCCACCACCGGCGAAACAATCAACCGAATAAAGAGAACGACGGTGAAGAAGGTGAAGAAGCAGTAGCTTTTACAAGTCGCGAAATGACAAGGCGCAACTATCACCGTCTTTCCACCGATAGTGGAAATTTCCGTCGCTTACTAATCCTTCTTCGTTTCCTTTTTTTCTTTTCTGCTCTGACGATGGGCAGAGATTTCTTTACGCGCTATTTAATGCAACTCGGCCAGAGTAATTGCTGGTGAGAGAGACTTTTACTTTAGTTAGCTAGCTATTCTACGACGAGTGATTTTTGTAAGCAGATAGATATTTACGTAAATATCGAAGAAGCACAACTTGAGCAGAGGTCGCGTTGTGTCTATTAAATGTTACAGTTATCTTCTCTGTATTCGTAAGTAATTCTTCGCACGTTGTTAAAAAGAGAAAAGAAGTGCAATAAGCGAGAATAGTTTAGATCGATGACCGACCATTTGTTCCGCCGATCGATCGGCAGTCTTACGAGTTGGAGTTAGCTGCGAATGCTCGGTTCGATATTTACTCGAACGAACAAACAAACAAACTCGCTAGAAATCAATTCGTTCTACCGGGAGGGAAACAATGTAAGTACTTGTTTCTTTTTATAGGGAGCACGGTCTGCCTCCATCTATGCGTGTGCAGAACGGATCCGTTGGCTGGTCGGATGCAATTACGGATCGGGGCTGGACCGAGAAAAACACCCAGTGCATCGCTTGCTAATTACTGGAAGGGAAGGGAAGGGAAGGGAAGAAGAGAGGAGACGAGAGAAGGAAAGGAAAGGGAAGGGAAGAAAAGGGAAGGAGAGGAGAGGAGAGGAAAGGAGAGGAGAAGAGAAGAGAAGGAAAGGCAAGGGAGGCTCCAATTTGCTATCGAGTTGTCTCAGAACGAAGGGCGGAAGCGGCACGAAGCGGGTGTGGCACCGCGAATTGCACGCAAATCTTGACGAATGCCGGTTTAGTAGAAGGGAATCGATCGAAACACGACATACCTATGATTCGCAATTCTATTCCGATGAAAACTTTGAGAAATAAAGCCGAGAATCGCTACGAATTGCTTGCAAACAAGTTTGCTTTATATTTATGGTATTGTAGTTAAAATACTCGTCGTTGGAGTACATATTTACACACGTGTTTGCAAGTGCGTGATATCTCATAGATGTCGATTAGTCGATCGCTATGACGCTTGAACGCGAATGCGCTCACATAAATAGTTTCAGATAAACAGCGTAATTAGAAGCGAGGAACTTCGGGAGGCACGTTGATAAGTGCTGATCAGCTGATTTCGTAAAGGTGAATAAGATAGACGTAGGATGTACGATTGGCGAGATAGGACACATAGATGGCATACAGATGATGGTTGGTTTCGAGGACGCGGAGTCGGAACGAAAGGAAGAACGTGGTGGGTGCGAGAGACGAGTGACGAGCGACAGAGTCGAGCGGGTAATCGAAAATGCGATGCGAGTGCCACGCCGGCGGTCTTTGTCGGCAAGCCTGCACGAAAGCAAATGCAAAAGGCATGAATGCAGTTGGCACGAGCCGGCACGAAAGGCGTACGGTAGAGAACGACGTCTGCTGACGCAGACCGAGGCTTCCTCTTTGGCCAGACTTCCTGTCAGAAATGATCGTCGCGATTCGCGCCGTTCTAACTAACCGTTCGGTTCACTGCCGACCTCTTCCGTCCCTTCATTCTCCATCAGCTCCACTGATTTCATCAGATCAAACAATGCCATCCACTCGACGACGTCATTTCCTTTTCTCTTCTGTCGATTCTTCGTTGGCGTTTCCCCGTTTTCATCAGTTAAATCCATCATCTTAAAAGTATATCTTTCCATGGGCGCGCGCGTTTCTTCGTTCATCAGTTGCACAGATACGTGTACTTTTGCATCCAGAATTCGAGGATCGAGAGAATAAAGCTTGCCAACAAACGCATCGATGAATGGAAGCTGAGTCATTCATAAACAGCCCAGAGCTTTTCGATAAAGTCGTTCGACTTGCTGCGAGCAAGTAAGATTCAGGCAACAGATTTTCCTCTTCGATGTAAATGACGTGATCACGGTAGGTGGTCGAAGATGGAGGTGTGGGAGTCGGTTTCACGATGCCGAAAATCGCGACATCTTCGACACCGCGTCGACATCCGGAGGAAGACACCTCGGTTGCGCATATTAATTACGCTACTTGGCGATGCTAATTAATTCTTCTAATTAACTAGGCGGCGCAGAAACGCGCCGTTAACGTCTTTCGTTTATATACGTATTATGTGTATTGTGGCACATGGACAATTTTTATATACCTATATATATATATATATAT